CCCGCCGCGCTCGGGATCCACCGCCCCAAGCAAGGAGAAGGGGAGACCGAGGCTGAGCCCTGAGGTCGGGCCCGGGCGTCCGGCTTGCGCTGCCCCAGGCCGGACCAGACCGCTTCGGTCGGCGGTCTTGAGTTGGGGCCCTGGTACCAGGCGTGCCAAGGTTTCCGGGCACGGCTGCCTCCGGAGCCCTTATTTGAGCAGCACGACCTGATTTCCGGCCACGTGGAGACCAGGCACTGCGCTCTTGCCACGAAGCCGCTCGCTTGGCATCGAGCATCGCGGCCGACATCCCGCTGGCAAGTTGGCTTCTGCCACGGCCACTGCTGGGCCTGGCGCCGCGGCCGGCCGCAGAAGGAAAGGCTGCGCCGAGCCGTGGGATTGCCACGGCGTCTCGCACCTCGCGAAGGCACCTGGCATCGTCTGCGCTCGGCCCGTGTCCCCACCTGCCCGGGCCGGGCCGGGCTCCCTTCCTCTCCTGGCTGCCTTGGACTTGGCGCCTGCTCAGCACGTCCGGTTCCCAGGTCAGGGGAGTCCCCGTGCCCGCCGGGCACTCCACAGAGATGCAGATAACGGGAGGGCGTCACCCCGGCAGCACGGGGACTGGCCTTGGGCTCTGCAGAGAAGCAGATCGGGCCCGGATCGGAGCGACTGGGGGGCAGCGCTGGGGAAATACTAGGACATGGCTATAAATATCCTTTGTGTTGCAGAATGTAGGTGCCTCTCTGACCTTTTCCCTCCTCTTGTGGGGCCAACAGTTGTCATTAAACCAGAGAAAGGCTTTTCCTTTGAAAGGGGCTGTCAGTCCTCGCGTTCGTCACGCTGCGGATGTCCCCATTGTCTTCGCCGTGACTAACGGCTGCCTTTGCGCTGGGCTTTCTGCGCTGCCTTTTTAATTTATTCTTATCGTTTCAAAGGCAGCCATGGCAGTGAGAGAAGGATTAGCCTCCTACACTCGGTTCTTTCTCAGGAGAGGAGCCCCTCTGGAGGCTTTCGCTGCCTTTCCCTCTTCCCGTCATCGCGCAGCGCCAGGGGGCGGTTGCTCCCTCTTCTTTTCCAGTCCAGCGTTAACAACATTGTGTTTCTGCAGCACCCACCTCCCCAAGCACTGTGCAGGCTGTCCGCTTGGACGTGCAGCCACGCCTGGGGTGGGACGCCTCCCGGCTTGGCCACCCAGAGCCCCGGCTGCAAAACCATTTGCACGGGAAATGAGGAAACCCCCCGAAAAAGAGGTGGTCTTGAAGTTAGGGCGTGGACAGCAACATCGGCCAGGCAGAGCTTTGCTCCCGGCAGTCGACGTGCTGAGTGTTTCCAGGAAGCAGATCCTTTAATGTGCCGCTGGCCTCTGGCAGTACTTTCCCCTGTTCCCTTTATTAACACAGAGGAAGAGAAGTTTTGTCATATGAAAACTGCAAATATTTGCGCTAAGTGATTAATTCTAGCATATGATGGAGCACCTGTGCCTGCACACAGCGCCCCTGTCAGACCACGTGGGCAGAGCCCTGCCAGCCCTAAGGCATGCGGGGCAGGCCGGTAGTTGGTTATCGCTGCCCCGGCACTTGCCAGCACCCACAGGGCTGGCGATGGATGGGCCAGGTCCTGTGCTAGCGGGTGGGTGTCCTGGCTCTGCTGTCTTTCTCCCCCACGGCTGCTGGGAAGAGGAAGGGCTGAGTCCTTTCTGCCCTGTCAGGTCTCCCAACACCCACTGTGGGGGCAGCAGAGAGGCCACTGATCCCCTGACCATGCTGCCAAGCCACGTCCTTCCCTCATCACAGGCCCTGCTGACACTCTCTCCTGCTGTTCTGCCCAGGCGGTGTATCGCTTCCCTGACCAGGTGTGGCACGTGGAGCTCCTCCCGCTCCACCAGCAGCTCTACGTCCTGTGTGCCAAGACTGGCATCTACTGCCTGTCCCTGGACCAGCAGAGCAGGTGAGGCCTGGCAGGAATCCAACCAGGGCAGCTGGCTTCGCCTCTGTTGAGTAAAGCCCTGGCTAGCACGTGCCTTCTGGGGGGAAAGCCATCCTGAAACCCACCCGAGCGACCCGTGCCATGCCACGCTGTCTGTGGGGATGTGGGATGTCTGCCCAACCCCTGCAAGATTTGACTTGGACTCCCTCTCGCTGCTTTTTCTGGGTGTTGAATCCTTTAGACCTGCAGGGCTGTGCCAGTTGACTGATAGCCCCCATGCAAGCTCACCAGAAGTGTGGCATATGTCCCGCAGGCCTCTCAGTTCCACGCGGGGCATGCGTATGTCACCGTTGCAATGTCACCAGCACCTGGGGTATCGGGCACAGGCTGATAAGGGTGTACAACCTCCATCGTGCTCCCCTGAGAGAGCGGTGGAAGGGTTAAGGTGTTTAAAACCACCAGTCCCCTTTGCTCTCCAGCTCGGGTGCCAATGGTCTCTTGAGAGCTGTATCTAAGAGCCTGAGTGTTCAGCGGGCCAGAGAGAGGGGGATGGAGCTGGCACTGGCTTCCTGGTGTGCTCTTCCTTGGTTTTCCTGAACACTCGTCCTCCTTTGCTTGCAGGGTAACGGAGGCGCCAACCGGTGATGGCGACGGTGACAGCAAAGAGGCCGACGGCCCTGCCAACGTGCTGCCCGTCGACGCGGACGCCTGCATCTTCCCCGATGCCGACCTGTGCGCTTTCACGTTGCTCAGCAACTTCATCATCACGCTGGCCCAGGCCCAGGGCAAGTGGTGGATGGAGCTGCACGAGCTCCCGGCCCCCAGCCAGGAGCCCCCAGCGTGTCGGCACATCAGCAAGGTGGGCTTCTCCACTGGCGCCCCGGCCGGGGGCGACGGAGACGCGCCGGCCTCCCGCTTCCTCCCCGTGTTGTGCTGTGCCTTGGCCCCCGGCTCCGGGGATGGGCTGTGGTGCTCGGGGGGCTTCATCCTGGCTGAGCCACTCTTCAGCCTGCTCTTCGGGGTGGACGCTGCCATGCTGGACTCCCCCATGATCCTCGGTGGCTTCCCAGACGGGCAGCTCTGCTCCGTGCCCCTGAAGGCCCTCAGCGCAGCAGCAGACGCCGACACCAATGCCGCAGCTGGCCCGGACCCACCTGTGAAGGTGCTGCACCACCTGGAGGAGCCCGTGGTGTTCATCGGTGCCCTGCGCACGGAGCGGCGCGAGGCCGACGAGGCTGACGCCCCGCCGCTGCCACCGGGGGACGCGGACTGTGTGGTGGCTGTGGGGCACTACGGCAAGCTGGTGGCCATCAAGGCAGGGCGCCGGGAGGAGGCACCGGCCCCCGAGCTGCGGGAGTACTACCTGCGTGGGCCGGTCCTGTGCGCTGCCTGCAGCAGCGGCAGCCGCATGTACTACAGCACCCACTCAGATATCTCGGCTGTGGACCTGGAGTGCGGCAGCAACGCCTCCGACTCTGAGGACGGAGACGACGCGGCGGCGGGTGTCCTGCCGCCAGTCCTGGCTCCGGCCAGTTTAAGTATTTGTAGCGTTGTGGCGCTTTCCTTGTCTTCGCGGGCAGCAGAAGGTACTGCCGGCCGCGCGGCGCACGCTGCTCATGGGGGCTGACGGGGGCAGGGTGGCCTTGGCCTCGCTGCCCATTCCTGGTCCTAGCTCTCCGCCATCCCACGTTAACGGTCCGGATTGGGCTCCGGCCTCCACCCGCTTCCGTTGGCTCCCCTTCGTTATTGTAAGTCATGTGTGTCGAGCGTGCCGCGGCTGGGACGGAGCGGGAGCCGCCATGGTCTGGACAGGCCTGGCCCTGCCTCGCCGGAGCATGCCAGGCGGGGTGAACCGCACTGCGGGTCACCAGGGGTTGGGGCCGGGGCTGCTGTGTCCCAGACAGCTGAGGACAGATCCGGCTGGATCTCTGGGAGGTGGCTTCCAAAAGGCCATTCCCAGGTGCGGCATCTGGCTGAGGGTGAGGGTAGAAATGCTCAGAGTCTGCAGGCTCCAGCCATGCCACTTCCTGGGAGAAGGGGGCACGGTGCATTCAGACAGCTGGCATCTCTCAGGGAGCAAAACAAGGAGGGGGGTGCTTACCTGTGTGTGCACATCCCTAGGCGGGTGCTGAGGAAGGGCGCAGAGCACTCAGTTGTGGGTGGGGAAAGGATAGAGTGGTGCCCCATTAGCTCTCAGCCCCTGGAGAGGATGGCATTGGTAGCACATTGGGCACACGTGAATCGGGGCACTTGCCAGTGGAAATTCCCCAGGGACATGGCCTCAGGAGCCCAGTGTGGGTAGTGGAGCCTGGGGAGTGGCTGGCTGGCGCTCTGGGTCAGGGCACAGCCTGCCTGACTCTCCTTGCTTGGAGACACTGCGTGTCCACGTAGCCCCTGGTCCTGCAGCCGCCAGTCCCGTGTCTCATGTTAGTGCCCCGTGGCTCCTGGGATTGTGGCAGGGGCGAGGCTTTGGGTTGGGGAGGAGCAGTGGGCTCCCCAGGGCCGTTGCGTGTGTGTGGGGCATGGCATGTGGCGTCCTGTGTCCTGTCATGCTTTCTGTGCCTGTGGTGCCCCCCGGCTTCCTTTGCCCACAAGCTGCTCCTGTGCGCAGCTTCGTACGTGCAGGGCCGTGCTGCTGAGGTGGGTTCAGCCCGGGGCCTCCAAAGCCCCTGTGCCATAGCGCCTGTGGCTGCTGGCTTGGGGCAAGGGCCGGCCAAACCGAGCAGCATCCTGGCTCTTGCTCATGGGGCCAGTCACAACAGGCCGGGGAGCGATGGTGCAGGGGGAGCTCTGGGATCCTCTCCGGCCCCTTCGCTGGTCTCGCGCAGTTGCTAACCTGTTGCCTGACCGGCCGGCGGTTCTACCTCTGCAGGGGAGTCGGAGCTGTTGGCTTTGTCCGCCAAAGGCCGACTGATGACCTGCGACTTGTGCAGCCCCGAGGAGGTTCACCCTGTCAGGCTGACCCCGGACAAGGCTGGCCAGAGGATCAAGGAGCTCCTGTCTGGGATAGGCAATGTCTCGGAGAGGTAAGGGGCAGAGGCGGTGATTCCAGCAGCCGCTTGTTCTCTCCAGGCTCCCTCTGCCTCCATCCCAGGCTCGGGTGTGCTGCAGTTTGGGGAACGCTCGCCTCCCCCGAGTGGTTCTGCCGGGACCTGTCTGCAAAGAAGCCCCCCAGGCCCAATGGCAGTAAGAAGAGCCTGGGATGAACCAGCACCATCTGCTGCCCTTTCCCTGCGGAAGCCAGCAGCTCTGTGCTGCCTTGAGTGGCAGACGCAGGGCAGGCAGGACGCCAGGTGCTCCGGGCTGCCCGGGGCAGCGTGCAGGATGGGCATGTTCCCAAGACCGTGTGTGTCTCAGGGTTTCCCCTTGAACGAGGCTTCTCCCCAGGGTCTTCCTCAGCCTGCGGGCACCTGGCATTCCCTTATCTCCCCCCCATTCCCTGCAGACCAAAGCCAGTGTTGGGCACGTTCCCAGGGACTCATCTGGGGACGGAGCTGTGCTGGGCTGGAGCAGGGACAGTCCTCGGCGGCAGGGATGGTCAGAAGGTCTCTGAGCTGTGACAAGCTTGGGGGAGCGAGGACCCCCCCTCTACTAGAATTCAGGAGCTGCCACGTGCCCCAAGGGTGGCAGGGCCTCACTGAGCATTTCTCCATAGCTGTGCATGCCCCAAAGGCTTGGCTGTTGCCCAAGCAATCTCCCTGCTCTCTGCAGAGTCTCGTTCCTGAAGAAGGCCGTGGACCACAAGAACCGGGCCCTGACCTGCCTGAACCAGGTGCTGGACGTCAGTGCAGCCCTGCTGTCCGGCCAGGACGGTGCAAAGCCCATCACATGCACCATCACGGCTGCCTGGAGCCGCCTGCTGCTGCGCGACACCTTGAGCATTTCCTGCATGTTGGAGAACGCCAGCGACCACAGCCTGGAGCAGGGCTGGACCCTGTGTGTCCAGCTGCTGGCCGGCACCTGCGCCCTGGACGAGGCCACAGCCGATACGGGCACCACGTACACCTTCCCTGTGGAGCAGCTGCCGCCTGGGGGCCAGCGGGAGGTGACGCTGCCGCTGGGCACTGCCGAGGATGCCAAGCTGGAGCTGCCACTCACCGTGTCCTGCGCGCTCTTCTACAGCCTGCGGGAGATCCTGGACAGCGGCCCTGATTCGCTGGATGACCTGTTCCCCGACGACTCACCCCTCCTCTCCCCGGACAGGGAGGGCATCTGCCTGCCCCTGAGCGAGTGCACCATTGACATGCTGCAGTGCCTGCGGGTGGGCGAGGCCGCGGGACCTGCCTCTGCTCCCGACCCCGTGGAGGCCTTCTTAGAAACAGCCGGGGTGCCGGCCGAGTCCAATGCCATGGGTGGCAGCAACGGCCTGGGAGACGAGTGCCTGGTGCCCTCGGCCGCCTCCATCAAGGTGTCCTCAGAGTTGCTAAAGAGCGCGCTGAAGGACTTCTCCGTGGGTAGGTATCAGGCCCAGGCTGCCCCAACCTGAGCAGGGCTCTGGAGATGGCTCCCCCCAGCCCCTTCCCTCTCCCATCCTCAGGCAGGAGGTGCTTCCTTTTGCCCTTGGTTTTCCAGGGGGTGCAGACTTGCATGCCTGGGTATTGCAGCCATGTCTCTGGGTCCGCAGAGAGCAGGGTCCCCCCAGTCTCCGACACCCCATCCCGGTGCCGTGGCCAGCCCCAGCCCAGCTGCCTCTCGCTGCGGCTTTACCCTGCATCCTGCTGCATGAGCTTGGGGCCAGGCCAGCAGCGACACAGTGGTGGGGTCTGGTGGGATGGGGGTGCCCCTCTGAGGCAGGAGCCAATGAAATGCATCTGCCAGCCAGGGCAAAGAGCCTTGCCTTGGGGTTAGTGCCCCGAGTCCTGGCAGAGGCCGTGACAGGTCCTGCTGGGAGAGGAGGATCTTGCCTGGCCCAAGAGCCGTGGCGGAGCCCCGTTCCAGCTGGAGCCAGCCAAGCCCTGCTGCGGGTGGCACCGTGCCTCGGGGCCCGCCTGCTGGGTCCAGTCTGTCACCGCCTTGCCTGGCCCGGGGACCTCGTCACTCCACAGGGGACAGGGAATACTTCTGCTTGGAACCACCCCCGGGCTCCTGTCGTTGACTCTGCCAGGGCCTAAGGGAGGTGTGGGGGGGCTTATGGGGAGCAGGGCTCTGTCCAGGCTGGGTTGAGCTGGGGGTGGGGGACCCAGGCAGGAGTGCACTTCCTCTGCCCTGCGCTCAGACCAGGAAAATTGGGCTCTGGGGCTGCCATGGGGAGGCTGGACCCCAGCTGGGGGGAATGCTGGTGGGATGGAAGGGTGGTAGTGGGGAGGTAACAGGCCATCTCCTCCTCATCCCAGGCGCCGCGCTAAGCTGCGCCACGCTGCGGTGGCTGCTGGCGGAGAACACGGCGGCCGAGGCGCTGAGCAGCCAGGACGTGTCAGAGGTGCGGGGCCTGGCCCCAGACGGAGGCGAGGTGCAGCTGCTCATCCGAGAGGCAAGGAATGGGTTAGCTCTGCGGGGATAGAGCCCAGCCCAGCCCCGCCAGCCCACCCCACCCCGCAGGCCCAGCCTGGCCTGGGGAAGCCGGGAGGAAGGGGCTGGGCCCCAGGCTGCTCTGGCCTAGGAAAAGCTCCCATCCCAGCCCCTTTCCTTCCCGAGTCCGGAGGTGGGGGAGGATGGGCCAACCCTGTATACTGCTCCTGCTCTGGCCGCTGCCTGGAGCGCGGGTCCCTGGCTGCAAGGAGGGCGTCTCTGTCTGCCACCCGTGGTTGGAGACAAGGTTACGGGGCCATGGGAGGGAGCTGGGGGGCTGCAAGCCCAGATCTCCTCGCTTCGGCACCGTCCCGTGGGCAAGCAATGTTTGCAGTGAGGACCTGCTCCCCTCTTAGGTGGCCATGAACGACCTGTGCCCGGCAGGCCCGATCCAGGCCGTGGAGATCCTGATCCAGAGCTCCTCTCTGGCTGACCTGTGCGGGGTGCACCATGCCGTGATCGGGCGCATCCAGGTAGGTGATGTTCCCCCCACACACGTGCGCACGCCCCCACCCCCTCGGTGCTATGGCCTTGCCCACAGGTAGCAGCACTCGGGAAGGCTGGGAGCAGAGTGTAGGACAGCCCACAGCTATGGAGGGTGGCGTCTCTGCCCCCCACTCCTCTTCTGGGGCAGGGCAGGGGCCACAGAGGGCTAGGTGGTGCCCCAAAAGGGCACATGGCTTGGGCTGAGAGTCCATGCCAGGTTGTGCCTGGGACCCCTGGGGAGAAAGGGGTGAGGAGGCTGTCTCGGGAATGGCTACCTTTGCCTGTTCTGTCCCGGGAGCTGGAGAACAGGAGCCCCCAGCGTGGGAGGCTGCTGCGGGTGAAGTGGTCCCGGAGCAGCCTGGATTCCCCCCTCCTTCCCCTGCTCCCCTAACATGGCGGCTTCTGTCTCCAAGCAGGCTCTGGTGCTGGAGCAGGCGGCTCAGGGCTCAGGCCCGCCCGACCTCCGCATGCAGTACCTGCGCCAGATCCAGGCTAACCACGAGGTGAGCGCTGCAGCAGGGCACGCGCTTCTGCAGAGCGCAGGGGCACAGCAGGACCAGCCAGGGCACCGGGGTCCTCTCCCAGGGGCTCTGCAGGACTGGGGCTTCCCCAAGATGTGGTTCCCACAATCTCTCTGACATCTGGGCCTCGGGGACAGCTGGCCCACAGCAGCCTCTGATTCCCCCCATCCCCACTCTGCCCCCAGACGCTGCTGAAGGAGGCGCAGGCCCTGCGGGACCGTCTCTGCCTCGGGGACGAGGCGAGCGCCACAGCGGAGAAGCTGCTGAGCATCTACCAGCAGCTGCGCAACCCCAGTCTCGTCCTGCTGTGAGCGCGGCGTGCCCGGGCGGGCTCCCGGGACGGCTCCGGTCAGCCCCGCGCCCTGCCAGGCCCCCCAGCCACCGCCAGGGTGGAGCTGGGCCCGTGCTGACGACCTAGGGCTGGAGAGAAGGTTGTGCTGGGAAGACGAGGGGGGTGGGGGTGGGGTGCAAGGGCAGGGCTGAGGGCTGGTGTCCGTGCGTGTGCGTGTGTGTGCCTGTATCGTGGTCGTGGTCCAAGCAGCACAGGGGGTCCCTGGCGCCCGTCCCGAGCTGGCGGGGCCAGGGTTCGGTGTCGTGGATTGTGCTCGTGACGCTCGCGTTCCTATGGCAGTCGCTTCGCTGCGCGGTGACCGGAGCGGGGCCGGAGCCGCGCCGGCCGCCCCCCTCCCTCCGCCAAGGGCTACGCTTCCCGGCGCTGTGGCCGGAGCACTGGGCAAACAGGGTGCCTGCGCGGGGTGCTGCCATGCGGCCCCCTCCCCTGCTGGGCGCTGGCTGCAGGCCCACGTTTTTTACCGGGGGGGCTAGGGCCGAGGGCGGGGGGGTGGATTTTTCGATATCTGTCATTTCTATAAAGGATCTGCCTCGTATCTGCGGTGCCACCCGGCCTCAACTCAGTTCTTGCCCTCCCGGGTCCGCGGCTCCGTCGTATGCTTCTCCTTCGCCGCATGCCCATCTTGCCAGACCGGCATCGGGGATCTCGCTTCCCCAGCCCAGCTCCCTGCCAGCTGCCCCCCTGCAGCTCCTGGCCCCGTTCAGGACGTTCTCCCAGCACCGAGCATCTCGGCTAGGCCCCTGGTGCTTCGCAGCATTGGCGCCCACCCAGCGAGGCTGCCCCCTCCCCGTGGCCCTGCTGCCCTGTGGCTGGCAGGGAAGCTGGGCCCCCCCATGTGGGAGAAGATGCCCCCCCAGGGCCAAGCAGCCTAGGGCCTGGACATTGGCTGGGTCGAGCACGGGGCTAAGACGATCCTGTGCCAGAGAAGGACTGATGTCCAGCTGTGCCAGGGGACGGGTCTTCCTGCCCCATCTCAGACCCAGGCCCCCTGCGTCCCCTCGCTGCCTGCACTGGTCCTGGGTGCCAGGCAGCCCCGGGTCGGGACCCCGTCCCCAGGATGCACCAGCAGCCTTGGCAGGCAGTGATCAAATTCGGAAGGTCTTCCTTTCTGCGAGGGCCCAGCCGGGCTGCAGCAGGAAGCGCCATTGAGCCGGGTTCCTTCCTGCCCGGGTATTTCTGGAGCGGCCGGCGGGGCCAGACTGCCCCGAGCCTGTGGTGCCAGGGGACTCAGCCACCTGCACTGGGCAGGCAAGAGCTGCAGCCTGGTCTCCCTGCCTGGCCAGGGGCCGAGCCGTGGGCAGGGGCCACAGTGCAGCTCCCTTGCGTCGTCTTGTCCGATCCCCAGCTGCCTCCTGGCCCCCCACGGCAGCCCTGTCCATCCGTGCTGGCCAAGGCGCATCTGCCATGCCAGAGCGCCAGGCTGGTACCTGCCCTGGGCCTGGTGCCGGCCCTGCCCCACTCCGTGTCTCCAGTTTTCCCATCTGTGAATGGGGTGACAGCAGCCTCCTCCCAGGGTCCGAGCTGCCTGGAGCCCCCTTGCAGGGAGCCCTGTGCTCCAGGTCTTTCCTCTGCCGGGTCTGGGAAGGTAGACAGCTCTGCCACCTCTCCCACGCCAGCTCCCTGCAGGGGGGGAGCTGAGCTGGGCAAGGAAAACACGGGACCCCCTCGGCTTGGTGCCACTCAACTGGGTTTTAATGAGGAGCGTGGGGCACGCGGGCAGCCACAGCGGCTTGTGGGGGGCTTCTACCACTCTCGGCCCCTGCCCCCCCTGGCTGCATTGCAACACCCCCCAATACCCCCGTGCCCGGGGCCTACCCAGGGACTAGCTAGCTCTGCACCTGCCCCCACCCCACGGTGCCATCTAGCAAGCAGCGGCCGCCCCAGAGCGGGGGCCGAGGGGCAGCATCTGTGCTCTAGGGTCGGGGGCACGGGCAGGGGCGTCCCCCTCCCTGCGGGTGCAGCGAGGCCAGTGCCTGGCAGGGTCACTGCAATCACACGCACGGGGCAGGGCGTCCCCCCGGCCGGGCCGGGTGCGGAGCTCAGTACTCCCAGAGCGTGGCGCGGGGCACCGTGTCGGCGTCGGCCTTGAGCGTGCCGGCCGGGTCCCCGCGCAGGTACTTCCCGTTCTTGCCTTTGATGGCTACACGCCCGTGCTCCCGAAACTCGAAGAAGAAGTCCTCCGACGTCTCGCCGTCGCTGCACACCAGCCCGTTGCTCGCCACGTACCAGAACTTCCCACCCGCGCCTGCCGGGGGCACGCGGTCAGGCCCGGGCGGGCGCCCCCCGCCGAGCGGGGCAGGGCTGAGCGGGGCAGGGCTCACCTTTGATCTGGTAGGCGCCGTCGTGGAAGACGATCTGGAAGACGTCGTAGACGGAGCGGTTGGCGTCCAGCATGTTGGAGCCGCGGTGGTAGCACACAAAGCCGTGGTCTCCGCGCAGCACCAGGATGGGCCGGTTGATCAGCTTCAGCGTGAACTCCTCGTCGTCCCCTGGGGCGGGAGGAGCGGGGTTGGCAGGGCCCGGGGCAGCTGCCCCTCGCTCCCTGCGGGGCCGGGGACTCACCCGCGGCGTCGCTGACGGCGGCCAGCTGCCCGTTCTTCTTGGTGCAGATGTACTTGCCGTTGCTGGCCTTCAGGGCCACCCGCCGCCCGCGCCACTCGATGTCAAACATGGTGTTGGCAGCGCTGGGGCCAGAGAGCGAGACGCCGCGGGTCACGGGGGGGCACAGCAGCGCTGGGGCCAGAGAGCGAGACGCCGCGTGTCACGGGGGGGCACGGGCCAGCTTCCCCCATCCCCCCCACCCCAGCTTGGGGGGCTGCCCCGTGTGCACGTCCCCAGCGGGTGGGCGACCCCCAGGTCTGGTGCTGCCAGGGTCACCGCGAGCCAGGCCACGGGGCTGCCCCGGCACTCACACTTCGGTGGCGGTGGCCTGGACGCCACCATGGGCCACCAGGGTCCAGTAGTTGCCGGCACTGGAGTGCAGGATGCACTTCTTGGTCTCCTTGTCAATCTGCATCTGGAAGGTCTCCTGGTTCGTCTCCTCGTCCTGGTTGGCCGAGACGTTAACGCCTGCCGGCCGCGGGGTGGGCGTCATGGGGGGGAAGGCAGGCCCGGAGACCATTGCCCTGCCCCCCAGCAAATCCCCCTCCCCGCAACACCCGGGTCTAATTGGGTTCATTAATCTGCTTGCTGTTGTTTCCAGCTGGGCGCGCGCAGACCTGCTATTTATAACCGGGCCGCCCACGTCACCGCACTAAGCTGCTTGGGGACGGCACGGCACGGCTGCCCTCTGCCCCGTCTGTGCCCATCCGGTGCCCAGGGCAGGGGACCCTCGGCCTGGCCGCGCTGCACCCTCCTTCCTCTGCTCGGTCCTGCTGCAGGTGCCTCTCCGGGGGCAGGTGGAGCTCCCTACAATGCTGGTGCCCCCCTCGCACACCCACCCACCCCTGCAGCCCCTGCAGCACTGTTGATGCATGCATATGTGCACACACATGCACACATCCACATCCCAACGTGCCACGCACACGCTCATTCACACACCCGGGTCAACAAGCACACCCTCCTGCACACCTACGTGTACACACATTCCCATGCTCACGGAGTGTATGCATGCGTGCACGTATGCACACACAGGATTCAGAACGTACTCATGCACCCACTGTCATGCACTCACTGTATGTATCACCCCGGTGTGTGTACAACATGCACAACCCTCCCACACATACACACACAAGTATTCACTCACAGTATGCATGCACACAGGTGCACATGCACACATGCACGCACACAGGTCAGCAAGCACATCCCCTCCTGCACACATAGGCATGCACATTCATGCACTCGCTGTATGTAGGCACACAAAGAGAGGTCAACACACACACCTCCTGCACATACGTACACACACACTCCGGGGGGCATGCACACAGGCACACGCACACGTCATCACGCGCATCCCTCCCACACACATTCGTGCGCTCACGGTATATCTGCCCAGACACACAGGTCAACATGTACGTCCCTCCCACATGTCTGCGCACACATGCTCACATGCTTATAGGCTGCACACACGCACAGAGGCACGCACACACCTGCGCCCCCATGCACACACCCTGCAGTGCACACACAGGCAGCTCCTGTCCATTCCCCCCAGTGTGCTTGTGCACGCATGCACACACAGGCCAGCTGACATGCATGCCCCGTGGCTCGCGCAGCCCCGCTGGCCACTCTGCCCCCCCCAGCAGCAAGCGGGGAGCAGGGTTACTATAGCAACGGTGCAGCCCCCTTGGCACCGCCCCCCCGCACCACCTGCTCCCTTCCTCGTGCCAGGGGGTGCAGGGGGACACCACTGAGCCCCTGGGGGGGAGAGGAGGCCTTGGAGCATCTCTGCTGCAGGAGGCTGCTGCCCTGAGCGCCCTGCTCCCAGCCCAGGGGTCAGCCCCTGTCCCTAACTGCCCCCCACCCCCAGCTGCTGGCTGCTAAGCAGGGTGCAGCTTGGTCAGCCCTTGGAAGGGAGCCAGCTGTTGGGCTCCCAGGGGTAGCCCCCGTGCGTGGAAAGCAGCTGCTTTGCCTATTGCCGGGTCACTGGTTTCCAGCTGGCCCTGCTGCATGTGCCCTTGGGTCTGCCCCGTGCTTGGAAGCTGGGAGCTGCCCCGGGCTCCTCCGGCGCTGCCTGGGATTGGCAGCTGCCTTCCCCTCGGCTCCAGCTCCGGCTCAGGTGTGAAGGAGCGTGGCAGGGCCGGGGCTTCATTTGCATTTGCTGGCCCAGGATGCCCAGCTGGGCTGGGTGCGAATGCCCGGGGCTCAGCCTGGGTGCGATTGGGCCTAAGGACCCCGGCAGCCAGGAGCAGAGGGCTGGGACCCCGCTTTGCTGTGGGGGTTGCTCTGCTCTGCTGGGCCCCGAGCTGATGCCCCTGGCAGGAGGTGGTGGGATGTGGTCCCGGGAGCCGCAGAGTCTAGGTGAGGGCCAGGCCCTGCCCTGGGGGCCCCGTGGAGGCGGGGGCTACGCCCTGGCCCCAGGCAGTGGGGACCCAAGGCAGGGCAGACGAGGACCCCAGAGCCTGTGTCGCGGGGGGGCACGTTACCTTGCCGGATGGAGACGTATCTGCCATTGGCCGCCCGGAAGACGACCTGCGGGTGACTCTCCTCCAGGTCGAAGAGCTCGTCCTTGCCCGGCTTGGAGCTGCGCCCCGCCTTGAGGGTGCCGGTGGGCCCGGCGGGCGCCAGGTACTTGCCGTCGCAGTCCTTGAAGGCCAGCTTGCCGGCCTTGAACTCGAGCGTGTAGCCGGTGCGGGCGTCGGGCTCGGGCACCAGGGCGCCGTCGTGGCGCAGGTAGCGGTTGTCGCAGGTGCGCAGGCAGTACTTCTTGTTCTGGAAGCAGAGGGTGATGAGCGCGTCCACGCCCCACGGGATGTTGCTGTCGGTGGAGATCTCGTCCTCCTGCGGGCTCAGGTGGGCGTAGCGGCGTCGGCTGACGCTCAGCAGGTTGGCCTGGGGGTGGATGGCCAGGTGCACGGTCCACAGCTCGGCCTCGGTCACCACCTGGGCGAAGCAGGACAGCCGGTCCTCCGTGCCCCCGAAGAAGCGCTTGTGCAGCTCGGACTGCAGCGCCCAGCGCCCGTCCGACTGCGTGATGATGGCGAAGCGCTCGGCGCAGCCCGGCTTCTCCGCCTCGCACCGCACCTGCCCGTCCTTGTCAGCCCCCAGGTAGCGGCCCAGGTGGCTCTTGAGGAAGACGACGGAGCCGTCGCCCTCGTCCTGCTCCAGGGTCCAGATCTGCTTGCGCTTGAGGCTGGGGGCCGAGGCGTTGACCTTGTAGCCGAAGCTCTCGGCCGTCAGGTACCGGTTCTCGCAGTTGATGAGGCCGAACTGGATCTTCAGCACCTGGTGGATGCCGTTGGTGGGCATCTTCCGGCGCGGGGCCCGCACGGCGGAGCGGGTGGCTCAGCCCAGGAGGTCGCAGCGGCGGTGGCGGGGCAGCGCTGGGCCTGGCGCAGCCTCGCTCGCCGGCATCCGATCTGCCGCTCGCAGTGCCAGTGCCACCGGCGGGGGCGCGGGCGTTGCCTCCCCGGCCCCCCCGGCCGCCGCCGGCAGGATGACCTCGCCCGCTCCGGCGTGCCAGGGGGGAGCGCGAGCCAGCAGCGACTGTGCCGGCTGGGGCGCCGCAGCCGGGTTTAATTAGGCGCAGCTAGGATTACAGCGCGCTCCCAGATTTCAATGAGCTCCGGGCCGCGGGAGCAGCCAATCGCCGCCCGCCAGCTTAAGCCACAAAGGGAAGGGGTTGACGAGCTAGACAATGGGGCTCGGCGGCGCCGCGGGACGCTACCGCGCTGGGCCCGGGAGGACGGGGTGGGCACCGCCGGGGGCACCTGCGGGCTCCAGCCGTGGGGCAAAGACACTGGAGCCGCGGGGGGTGGCCTGGGCGTGGGGCCGGGCTAAGGTTACCGGTGTCTCTGATTCAGCCCCAGGTCACCTCCAGCCATGCCGGCTCCTAGGCCCAGCCCCTAAGCGCCTTACCCGTGAGCCGGGCCGGGTGCTTAGTGTAAACCTTTTATCCTGCTTTGGGCCCCTGCCTCCATCTGTCCCACAGCCCCGGCTGCTCCCAATCCCCCCTGCGGCTCGCTCCAGGCTCCCGGCCCCCTGGGCTGCCCAGGGCGCGGGACGTGCCCTGCTTGGGTCAGCACGTCCCAACGGGCGGCGGGGGGGGGGCAGCGATCAGGCCAGGCCGCGGAGCTTGGGAGGGGGCAGCCGGGCTGGCAAGGGGGGCATTGAGGCTTACCAGTTACAGCCTGCCCCCAGGACCCTTCGCTGGTGGGGTGCCCGCGCCAGCCGGCTGGGAGGCAGGATGGGCAGCTGGAGAGGGCTGGGATGCTGGGACCATCCCTGGGGTGCTCAGCCCGGTGGGGGGCGTTTCCTGCTAGGGGTGCTGGGACCTGGGCCTTCAGGCAGCGGGTTGGGGGCACCTCCCCTGGTACCCCCCCGCCCCCCGAGCTGCCCCAGCCGAGACCATCTGAGTGGAGGGTGTTGCTAAGACCTGGCTGACTCGTGTCACCCCAGGAGACCACACGTGCCCAGCGCTGGCATCCCCCAGCCACAGCTCAGCCCCTCTCCTGTGCTGCAGTGCTCAGATGCCTCCCTCCCACATGGGCTGGGACGGGGGTCCTGCCGCACCCGTCCATACCTCGGTTTCCCTTTCTCACCCAAGCAGCTGCTGCGTTTGTGCAGCGCCTGACACGAGGGCCCTGATTTGCTTCGGGGGGTCCGAGCCTCGCGGGCACTTTGCAAAGGGGGTCAGGGTGCAGGTTGTCGGG